CCCCCCTTGTCCCCTTCCCTCAGACACATTACCATGAGCTTCCTCACTCCCAAACACCAAGGGCCCTTCCTTTGCCTCTATGACTTGTTTCCTAAGCCCATTTCTCCTAGGAATCACTTCCTCCACCTCTGTAATTTTACCAAATAAATGTTTTCTTATATTTTGAGTCTTGGCTCTGAATTCTTTCCTAGACAGAACCCAGGTGCCAAGGTTGCTGAACCCAGGTCAGTCTGATCCCACTGGACTAACACCTGGAGCCATTGCTGCAGAGCAATTCCTGCAGGGAATCACCAAGGCCTATGAATGAGGAAGGAAAAGAAATTTTAGTTTATACTTTGTACTTTTCTGCATATTAATTTTAATGAGCTTTAACCATATTTTAAAAAAATCATTTGAACCTAGCAAGACAATAAACTGAGAGATGGGGGGAAAAGCAGGTATATATATGCATAACTGAAGGACACAGACTATTGTGTGGTGAGGAACTGGGGAGGGGGCAGGGCGGAGTAGAAGTGGTCAATGGGGAGAATAAGGGACATCTGTAATATTTTGAACAAGAAAAAGAAAAAGCAGTTGCTAGGATAAATTTAAAAAAAATTTTTTTTTTTTAAAAGCAGCTACATCCCCACCCCAATCAGCAAGGACTGAGTAAGGAACCTGGACTTCCTCTGACACCTGGCCCTACAGAGGCCCCAGAGTGCTTCCTGTCCCTTCCTGGAGTGGGATCCAAGAAGACAACGAGGACCCCAGATTCTCATCGCTGCCTATCAGTAAAAAGCCTCACACCACAGGGCTCTTTTTTTAGAACTGAAAAATATCATGACAAAAATTAAAAGTGCCTGCCCTGGCCGGTGTGGCTCAGTTGCCTGAGCGCCGTCCCATGCACCAAAAGGTTGTCCGTTAGATTCCTGGTCAGGGCACATACCCACTTTGTGAGTTCGATCCCTGGCTGAGTGTGGGCAGGAGGTAACCAATTGATGTTTCTCTCTCACATCAATGTTTTTCTCTCTCTCCCTCTCCCTCTCTCTCTAAATGTCAAAAACATTTTTAAAAGAGATAATCCCAATAGTTAAATTAAAAAGATAATAATTAAGCCCAGCTGGCATGGCTCAGTGGTTGTTGACCCATGAACCCGGAGGTCACGGTTCAATTTCCAGTCAGGGCACATGCCCAGGTTGCAGGCTCCATCCCTGGTGGGGGGTGTGCAGAAGGCAGCCCATCAATGACTCTCTCTCATCATTGATGTTTCTATCTCTCCTTCGCCTTTCCTCTGTCTGAAATCAATAAAAACATATAAAAAAATTAAAAGTTCACTGGATGGGCTCAACAGCAAAATGGAGAGGACTGATTATAATGAAAGATCTAGCTTTTGTGTCACTGGGGTCTTAGAAGGAGAGGAAAACCAAAGTAGAACTAAAAAAGAATTTGAAGAAACAATGGATGAAAATTTCCTAAATTTGGCAAAAGACACAAACCTACAGATTCAAGAGGCTGAGCAAACCAGAAACAATGAACTCAAACCAATCCTCATCAAGACCCGTCAGAACAACAGCCCTGAAACCAAAGCCAAGGAACCTGGAAGCAGCAGAAGTGGCACAGCACCTGTAGGGGGAACAGTTCAAATGACAGAGCCTGGCAGCAGAGGGCGTGGGCGCTGTCAGCCGGCACCGCATTCCCACATTCGCTGCAGACATCCTTCCCGAATGAGGAGGAAATCAAGATGTTCTTAGAGGAAGGAAATTGAGAAGCCTTGCCACCAGCGCACCTACCCTAAAAGAATGACTAAAACGAGTCATTAAAACAAAAACGAGATGATAAAATCCGGAATCTTGGAACCTCGGGAAGGAAGGAGCAGAAACAGGCGGATAGTGCTTGCACACTTCCTGCCAGGTTGGCCCCTCGACCCGCTCTCGCCAGAGAAATGTGAGCAGAAGTGCCCGTGTTACCTCCAGGAAGTAGCTCCCAAGGCCAGTGTGTGGTCCTGCGTGACTCCACGTGGGTCCTGGGGGCCGGGGACAGGGCCAGAGCCTCAGGCACCCGGAATGGACCACAGCACAAGCACAGCAAACCCTGAGCCCACAAAACCTGACTTTTCCTGGCGGACGCATCTGCACAGTGCTTTTGTGCTCCCAAACCCCCTTCTACATTATTTCCTCTGGCCGTCACAAAGGCCTGTGATTCACAGAGGCCGCTTGATGGTGCTTCTATGTCAGAGACCATCTGGACCCTGGGGGTTCCCGTTGTCGTGGACATCGGTCCCCGCCTCTCCGCGCCCAGGGTTCTTCCTCGGAGTTCCTGGACTCAGCTGAGCGCTCATGGCTACGGCTCCCTGGGTGCCCTTCCTACTCGCGATTACTGCTTGTGGCCTTTGTCCACAGCACCTTAGGAGGCCTGGAATGTCTTTGCAGGCCTCTCGGACATAAATTTCATCGGCTTTGGTGGGTGACTCCTGATTTTGTTGAAGTGACAGCAGAGGCCCACTAGATGAGACCCAGTGTATTCCACATAATGTGTATTTTAAGTCCTACTTTATCCAACAAAACCTTCACATTTGGTAAAAATCCATTGTATTAGTTAGCTATCGCTATGTAACAAATTACCTCAAAAGTTCATAGCTTAACTCAATAAACAATTCTTCATATATGTATATATACACACACACACAGACAAAGTAATAATTTGTTATTCTTGAAGTTTTAAAAATAATTTACACATCAAAACCCTACCTCTTCTCTCTGCTGCCCAAACTGGACCTCTTCTGGGGCTCTTTCTCAGAAAATTTCCCATCACCATGCAACTAAACAAGCCCGGTTTCTTAGCATCTGCCTTGACACCTCTTTCTCTCCTTTGTACCCACATCCAACCCATCCCCAGTTTCTGTGGATTTTATGCCCTAATCATTTCTCAAAATGGAAATGTCTTTCCACCTCTCCGCCCACCCTCCTAGTGCGCATGCTCTCTTGCCTGAGGAAACCCAGGCCCCCTGGGCCACTCCGACTTGTCCTTCCCAGTGCAGACAGAGGAACTTTTTCAAAATGAACCTCTGATCACGCTACTCCCTGATTAAACTCTTTGATGTTTCTCTCTGGTCTCCTAGAATGGAGATAAAATTCCCCACCGTGACCTACACAGCGCCTGCGGACCCTGCAGCCTCATCTGCTGCGTGGCCAGGCCAGTGCTCCTCTGCGCTGCCCCGTGGGCTCTGGCACCTCTCAGCCTCTGTCCGTAGCGCTGGCACACAGGGAGTGCTCAATAAACGGTTGTTGCTCAAATAAATGAATGAATGGGCTTATAAATCATGCAAGGGTTAGGTTCAATCCTCTAAGACAGCAATACTGATGGATCTTAAAAACATAGCACTGAATGTCAGAGTAAAAACAGAGAATGAGAATTCGAACATGACACTATTTTGATATGGCTTATTTAAGGGTCCACTGCACACAAACAGCAGTAGAGTTTACACAAATGCATTCCAGCAAAAGGGGAGACGGGAGCATGTTAGAATGGCTGCTGGGTGAAGAGGGAAACAGACTTGGGGGAGGGGCTCGATGGAATAAATAAATAAACAAAGTAAGGGCAAAGTGCTGCCAACACAGGGCCCACAGGGAGGACTGGGAGGCGGCCGCAGGTCAGAATAAGAGCAGGCCCAGCTGAGCACCGAGGGGCCCTCGTGTCCCGACGGCTGCGCTGGAGAAGTGGGAGGGCCAGCAGAGGGCCCAGGGCAGAGAGGCATCCTGCAGGCCGCGTGGAGGGAGGCCATGCCATGCTAGTTCTGAAAAGGGTCCCTCCAACCCCTCATTTTATATTTAGATTATTTAATTTATTTTCAATAGGTAGTACATTCCCACAGTTCAAATGTAAAAGGTCTAAAAGTGCTTACAATGAGGCCATCCTTGTCCCTTCCCCAGAGGCAGGGACCCGTGGTTCCCCCAACCCTTCTACTCACACACATGCAGAGTCACAAGACACACAGACGCACAGACACACTCCCCCCTGCCCTTTCCCTGCCAGCATAGCTCGGCTGTTGTTTGATGTCAGTACTGAAAGAGCTTGCGTCACGCCCCATACACCTTCCCCAAAATGTCCAGTGGAAAGTTATTAAAGGCGCACGTGACTCCTGCCACTTGGGTAAAGGCAAACTAATGCAACTCTCTTCACATCCATTTACTGGGAAAGGGCTGCAAAAAGCGGTCAGACGAATGAGTCAAGGCTGTCCTCTGCGTGCAGGGCCAAAACAGCCCCCTCCCTTCGCTGAATCAATACAAAGGAGAGGGGCTTACCCAGGGAGCACTGGCAGCCGGACTGCACTCAGATGCCTTTACGTCAAGGATTCAAATACCTATGGTCTTTCTAGACTCCTTTACGGGGTGGGTTGACGCCTTCCCCACTAGGACAGAAAGGCTCAGGGACAGGGATGAGCCTGCAACCGAGCTAAAATATTGCTAAAAGAGCTTTTGCCAAGATTTGGGCTTCCTGGGCCTTTGCAACGTGACCACGGTCCAGCTTTCACTTCACATATAAGCCAACTGCTTACAGAGGCTCTAGGCACCACCTGGCATCTACACTCCACGCGGAGGCCTCAGCCATCAGCAAGGTCCAAAGAGTGAGCCAGACCCCGAAGAGAGCACTAACAAGCTGAGCCAGGAGACTCATCAAAACCGGCTTCAAATGCTCCCAATTGCACTCTTGCAAGTGAGGATGAGCCCAACTCCACTGTCAGGATGAAGTCCATACGACACCCTAAATGGAAGGCACTTTCTTGGTGTCAACATCATTAGACATCAAGAGCTGAATTATGAGAACATCTGGTGATTTTACTTGGCAAGTCTGTGACTGCTGGGTAAGATCACCCCCCTTTCCCTCCTCCTGCCCTAGAAGCTAGCTATTTTGCCTAACAGATATCCTTGCTGAGTGAAAGGGAATTTGTGATTTTTATAGACTTAGCCAGTTGCCTTCCATAGAAATTGACCAGTTTNACTTCTTTGTTCAGTGGGTAAGATCACCCCCCTTTCCCTCCTCCTGCCCTAGAAGCTAGCTATTTTGCCTAACAGATATCCTTGCTGAGTGAAAGGGAATTTGTGATTTTTATAGACTTAGCCAGTTGCCTTCCATAGAAATTGACCAGTTTACACTCACACCACAAATCTAGGTTAGCTTTTGATGGGGAACACTTTCCCCCATAAATGGACTGGCAAAATTAGGGAGTTGAGGAAACTGAAGTATAGTTAGAGGCACTGTAATTTTTTAAAAAAGCTAAAGAAAACACCTCTTTTTTTAAAAAAAAAAAAGTCTTTATTGATTTCAGAGAGAGAGAGAGAGAAAGAGAGAGAGAAACATCAATGATGAGAGAGTCATGNAAAAAAGCTAAAGAAAACACCTCTTTTTTTAAAAAAAAAGTCTTTATTGATTTCAGAGAGAGAGAGAGAGAAAGAGAGAGAGAAACATCAATGATGAGAGAGTCATGGATCGGCTGCCTCCTGCACGTCCCCTACTAGGGGTCAAGCCCCCAACACAGGCATGTGCCTCGACCAGGAATCAAATCTGGATCTCCTGAATCATAAGTCGATACTCAACCCCTGAGCCATGCCGGCTGGGCAANTGTGCCTCGACCAGGAATCAAACCTCGATCTCCTGAATCATAAGTCGATACTCAACCCCTGAGCCATGCCGGCTGGGCAACATCTTCTCTTTTGTGTTCAGAAGACTTCGCAGGTCCTTTCCATTTCTCCTAGAGGAAGGCTTTGCTTGTTGCAACCTGCAGATTACTGTCTACACATTGGAAGCCTGTGCTCTCTGCCCTTGCTTGGGCATGCATGGGGTCCTGCCCTTCGAGCTCTCATTCCATGAGGAATGCTGAGAAGAA